GGTCGCAGAGCTTCCCTGCAGCCACCACTACCTTGCAGCGAAAATTGCCAAGCGCATTGATGAGCTTTGCGCGGATGGCCAGTGGAAGAGCAGCGAGGCGCTAATGGAAGGTCTTCGGTGGGCGGTCAAAGCTCAACGCGACTCCCAGATGACTGAACTCCAGCAGGAGCCCAGCATTTCTTCGCGAGTTTCCATTGTGTTGCAGCGCTACTTTGGCCTGAATGTTGTCCATCAGTACGCCATCGGTTCCTACGGCACCCACGTTGATTGGGCGGGCTTTGACGACAACCATCACGTTGTCGTCATGGGCGAGTGCAAAAAGCAGGAGCAGCCGTTCCAAGAATATGGGGGCCAGGTTGCCAACGAGCTCTTGCGACTGGGGGCCATTCCAACGTTGTATGAGAGCAACAGCGACATATCGCTGACTCGGCGGAAGGACATTTTGTGGCCCATCATCAACATCAACGTGGTGGGAGACAATGTCAGCGCCTACCTGGCTTTGCAAGTGATTGATGTTCGATGGGAGCAGTTTGAGGGTTGCCTGGCAGAGATTCTGCCATTGCTCGAGATTGACAGTTCGAACGCGAAGCCGAGGACATCGGGGCTGTTCTTTTTGCGCCTCGGTGCCGCAAATTTTAAAGAAGATTCGCGGCAGGTAGAAAGCATCTTGCGAGCTTGCAAGGAATTTGTGCAAGGGGATTTGGCGCGCTTGCTGGATAGGGCAGGTGCTCAGACTCTATCGCGGCCACGGCTGCCTCCACAACCATTTCCTTGCCCTTTTGAAGACCTCGACAAGTGGAATCTGAAGGATTCGTATGGTCCCAACGTGCAGGTCTACAGCATCGGGAAGCAAAACAAGGAGCAAGGCAAGGTGTTCAAGCACTTTGACTACTGGGGACGCACGGCAAATCTCTGCAGCAGCCTCTCGGCACAGTGTGTGCCTTACCAAGATCGCCGCTACCCGCCTGACGACCGAATCTTGACAAAACTCAGTCAACTGGATGTGACGGGCTCGTTCTATCAGAAGTGGGAGGTGGTGAGGCTTGCAACTGCCGTGGATGTGCTCAGCTACCCTTACGTGAAGCCGGCAGACACCGTCGAGATTGAGCAACTGGTCCAGGTCATCTACCAACTGAAGGCCATCCATAGCGTTGACTTTGTGCACGGCGACATTCTTCCTCGCAACATTCTTTTTTGCAGCGACTGGGAAGGGCATCCTGCGGCCTTTCTCATCGACTTTGATCTCGGCCGGTTTCTCGCTGCTAATCCTGCCCACAACCCCGTCTATGCCTCCAATTTTGCCAGGGAAGGAAAGCCGCTGGAGTCGTATCGTCACCCATATGCCCGGGGGGATTTGCCAATGCAGAAGGAGCACGATGGCTTTGCCTTGGCACGTGTCATGGAGAAGTTTTTGCAGGATGACGAGGCTCGTCAGCAGCTGGTGGCTGCGTTGGAAGAGCTGCAGCTGGATGACGCTGCCACGCTGTGTCAGCAGTGCTCGCTTTTGCCGCTAGACAATGTTGCTGGGCTTGGCAAGGCCACGGGCAGTCCTCGGCGTTAATGTGCCAACCTGGCCCTCTCCTTTTCCAAGTATTCTTGACCCTTGTGCTTTTTTTTTTCCGGCCCATTTTGCGCCAAAGCGACGGCTGTCATCAGTTCATTGTAGTGTCATGCGAGCATGCGTCCCATGCGTCTTTGCCCGAACAGAAGCAGACCGATCAGATCCAAGCTTGCCTATTTTGAACACCATAGGGAAGTTGCAGATCATTAAAACCCCGTCGCTTGGGAGGAAAATTAATGGTGAAACACGACGTTGATTTTCTTCTGTTCTGTTCAAATTCTTTAGCTTTCGGTGCGATGACAGAGAGAGAGAGGGACAAGAGGTGCTTGCTTTGACAAATGGCAGCCAGACTGGTTTGGATTAGGCATTGAGCACGGTTGTTGTACTGGGAAGCAAGAGCATACTGTACCGTTGCTGCCCTGTTCACTCGGTCTGATGCTCTTGTCTATCTGACCCTCTTTTGGGGTTTTCAAGCATTCCATCCTCCGGGAGGAACCAGAAACCAATCCCAATCCCTTGTCTTTTTGTTGTTGTTTGTTTGGCGATGATTGAAAACGCAGGTCATCATGTCATCCTTGTGAATTTCCAAGCACCCGCTGTCACCCGGCAAGCACATCTAGTATGGGAGCCTGGGGCAGATACCCCCGGGGGGGGAAACAAAGTGTAAATTCATCATCAGCGCGCTCTGAATGAATACACGCGCAAGTCAAGTTGCACATTGGCGGTGACATGACGTTTAATTTTGCACAAAAGTGATAGTCTTCTTGCCAACTCGTGGCTGTTCCCCGCCCCATCCTGAAGCAGTCCTTTTGCGCCGCTGCTGTTCGTTGTGATCTTTTGTTGCATGTCCTTCTTTATCAATCTGCTCTTGTTTGTCAATTGATTTTTGATTTTTGATTTTTTAATTTGGAGAAGAAGCATTTGTTTGTGTTTGATCTGTCTGCCCGTGCCACCAAAACATGGGCGAGATAGTGCCCGTGCAAGCGCTCCTACTGGGGATATTGGCGTTGTGTCTCGTCAGACAGTTGCCATGCGCGGCGGCGGATATGCCTTGCGTCCTCGATGAACGGGGCATGGGAAGCTATCGGTTCCCAGAGCTGCCCCAGCTCAAGGGTTGGGTGGCTTCCCAAGAAACACAGATTGTGGCCATTGATGACCATCGAGCCGGCTTGGCCGTGGTTCAGCGTCATCCTGTGACAGCGGTAAGCCCTGCTTATGGCATTTCGCGCTGGTGGGAGCACGCGACTGAACTCACGATCTTGATCTTGTGAATATTGAATCAACTTTTGCTCGATTGATTGGGTAGACCTGTCCAAAGGGCCGGGCCACTGTCACACAATACGTGTGTGACAGAGCGCTCACTGGAGTGCAGCCCCGCGGCGCCGAGGGCTGGCTACAGTCCAGCGCCACGAAACGCAGGCTGCCTGTCGCGCCGAATGGAGCAAAATGCCATGCGCCACGAACCAAGTCCCCGTTCCTACCCCTGAACAAGCCGCATATCAGCGTCATGAGATTATGGGCGTAAGTTTGACGCCGAAACTATTGCATTGACCTTGATCTTTTCATGAGGAATATCGCTGCAGATCCTGCCTTCTGTGTGCTCGCCGCTTGCTTTTGAACGACTCTTTTTTCTCCGCTTACCCAAGACCTGCCCCGCTCTGGCTTACGTCTTGACTTGGCGGCGTTGCTTGATCGCATGGTAGTTGACACACTTTAACATGGCTACTTTTGTGGAGGACGGCGATCCAGCTTGCAACCCCACCAACTGGAATGTGGGTGTCCATAGCTCACACGCCTCCCTTTTTGACCCCACACGGCTAAACATCTCCAATTGGGTTGAAAACTACCGGGCTGTGGGTGCCAAGCACGCCGTCCTCACCGCCAAACACGGCTGCGGCTTTTGACTCTGGAATACCTCGACCACCTTGCCAAATGGAACGGAGTATCCCTTTGCAGTGGCACGCAGTTCCTACCCAAGCTTTCAGCGCGACGTCATTGCCGAATTTAGCTCCACCTTGGGGGCAGCCGGCCTGGGATATGGCTATTACTACAGCACTGGCAACAACTACTTTCTCAACCGAGATGGCTTCAAGCGCATTGGCAACCCCTTACCAGGCCAAGTAGATTTAACTGACGAACAATACAATATCCTGGTCTTTGAGCACGTCAAAGAGCTGTGGACGCGCTTTGGATCGCTCTTTGAAATCTGGTTTGATCATGGGGTCTCGGCGGATCAGGATCAGCAGCTAGCCGCATTGCTCAAGCAGTATCAGCCCCAAGTCGTGGGCTTCAACGGACAGGGGATCATGACCAGCCCCATCAAGTTCGTACCAAACAAACCCGCTGCTCGATGCGCTTTTTTGCTTCACTCTTCTTGACTTCACCTGCGTGTGGGTTTTGTGCTGGTCTTTCAATTGTGGGTGAAATGTGCCGCTACACTGCGTACTTTTCTTACCTGTGTGCCTGCAGGTGTGTGGGCACGGAAAGCGGCTTGGCTGGTTATCCCACTTGGGCGACGGGCTGCTCTGTTGTCCAAGGCGATCCAACTGCCAACGACTACTGTCCCGTTGGGGGTGACACCTACGTACGTCCAGCGATTGAACAGGGCATCCTGACGTCTTTTCATCTCACTCTCGTGCTGCATCGCAATGAACACTCCTAAACTTTGAACCCTGCAAGTGCAAAATGGCCATTGGTTTTGGCGGCCTGGATTTGCTCTTCGCTCCGTGCAGCAGATGGTGGAGGTGTGTTGGAGCGACGAGTCCTTGACCGCGGTCATCTGATCGCACTGACAAGTCATCTCACCACTTCGCGGCAGGTGTATCACATGACGGTTGGCAACAATCAGGTGCTTGAGCTGGACTTTGCGATCGACGACACGGGCAATGTACCAAGTGATGCCTCGGCGGTGTACCACGCACTGGTGCATGGGCTCGAGCGGC